CCGGGTGTGCTCCGGCTGGTTTTTTAGAACCGGGTTCTTTATTGGCCTGGATGTTTTTGGTGAGGGTCTTCTGTTGGGGGGGGGGGGTTCTAGGCAAGTGCTCTACCTCTGAGCCACACCCCCAGCTCCTCACTGGGGAATTCTAGGCAGGTACTCTACCACTGAGCCACGCCCCCAGCCCCTCACTGGGAAATTTGCAAGCACTTTACCTTCTCATCTAGCTCTATGGTCTTTCTGTTTTCTTGTTGTTTTGCTTCATTTGAGTCCAGAGTTTCATGAGCTAGTCTGGCCTTGAAGTCACTGAGTAACCAGTGATGAACTTGAAGTTATCTTCCTGCCTGTACCGCTCTACCTCTGAGTGCTGGGATTACAGGCACATACCACCACACCCAGTTTAGGCAGTGCTGGGGATCAAACTCAGGGCCTTGTGCATGCTATGCAAGCACTATACCAACTGAGCTAGCTATATCCCAGCCTAAGAAACTGTGCTCTTCATCACACCCTGGTACCCCTTTCCCAGGGGTGGCCCCTTCAGCAGATGTTGGGGCATACCTGTGAGCCCCGCAGCCCCCACCCCACCATAGTAGCAGAGGTAGAAGGTGAACACTGGCTAAGACTCTTGGTCATGTTAGCATGAGTGAGGTACAGGGGCTAGTCGGCTGACAGGGGACTGTCACAGTCTTATCCCCTGGGAGCTGGCTCTGCCCTGTGGGTCTATAGGCAGAGCATCTATGCAGAAACTCCTGTAATCCACATCTGCAAAAGCAACAAGAATGGGCAGGGGTATAAATGTGACTGGTTTGCAAAAACGTGGATGCCACAGGACCCTTGGATGCCTAGTGACCCTTCACAGTTGTCCCCAGTTGGGACAAAGGGGCTGGGCCTCATTGGACTATATGCTACGCAGGGAAGGGGGCATGACCTTGGGTGAGGGGCTCCTTGCAGCTGAGGCTGTTCCCACAGAGGGCTGACAGCTGAGGGTTGACAGCTGCCAGCCCTCAGAGCAGCTGGGAGAATCAGTTGTCAGTGTTGGAAGAGAGAGCCCAGTGTCCACAGTGAGGGGGCAGGGAGACCTCTGAGTGAAGGAGGCACATGGATAAGAAACTGAAGATCGATACCAGAAGCTGACAGCCACAAGGAATATGTTGCGGGCAGGGCTCGGCAGTACAAAGGCCCTGGGGCAGTACTTATTCTTGGGAAAAACACCCAAGACAACAGGGTCCCTGAAACTAAGGGGACCAGAGAAGAGGGAGGGCCTGAGCCAGACTAGGCAGGATCTTGTAGGTTGTCAAGGAACTTGGTCATAATATCAAAGGCCCTGGGCTGCTGTGCGAGAACTTCTAGCAGTAAGGAAGATTGACTAGTGTGTGCTTTGAAAAGAACCCTTTGGGTTGGAGAGATGGCTCTGTGGTTAAGAATGCATATTGCAGCCGGGCTTGGTGGCACATGCCTTTAATCCCAGCACAGGGGAGGCAGAGGCAGGAGGATCTCTGTGAGTTGGAGGCCAGCCTGGTCTACATAGCAAGTTCCAGGTCAGCTGGGGCTACAGGGAGACCCTGTCTCAAAAAGACCAATAAATAAATAAATAATAAATAAACAAAATAGAATACAGATTGCTCTTGATGAGGGCCCTTGTTTCATTCCCAGCATGGTCAGATGGCTTACAACCACCTGTAAATCCAGTTCTGAAGGATCCAACACCTTCCTCCGGACTCCTTGGGCACCTGTACTCACATGCATAGACACAGACACACACACACACACACACACACACACACACACATATCTAAAAATCAAATAAATATTTTTTATAAAGAAAAATCTTTGCAGGCAGGCCATAGTAGCTCATGCCTTTAATCCCAGCACTCAGGAGGCAGAGGCAGGCAGATCTCTTGTAAACTGGAGCCCAGCCTGGTCTACATAGCAAGTTCCAAGCCAGCCAAAGTTACCTAGTGAGACCCTGTCTCAAAAATTTTTTCAAAAAAAGAAAGAAAAACTATCCCTTGGGCTCAGAGGAGGGTGGACAAAGACAGAAGTGAGGAAGATGACCAGAGAGAAGACTCAATGCGTTAAAGTCCAGCCTCCAAGCCTAACAACCTGAGTTTGATCCCAGAGTCCCACACAGTGAAATGAAGAATAGACCAGTGAGGAGATGGTAGGGTCAGGGGTCAGAGAGGAAAAGGATCCTTCATGAAGTCAGAGAGCATAAAGTATTCTCTTTTTTTTTTTTCAGAGACAGGGTATTCCTAGGTTGCTTAAGCTGACCTGAGAGTCAGAATCCTTCTGCCTCAGTGTTCCAAGTGCTGTGTGAACCACCTAACCCAGCCAGAATTTTGTTATTGTTTTGCGATGCTGGGAATTAAACCTAGGGCCTCACCCATGGGAGACAGTAACTTTAGCACTTATATATATCCCCAGCCATGAGCCCATCGAGTTGTCTAATAATTTTTTTATTATTCCATTTAGTTGTTTGTTTATTTAACTATTTATATATGTGTATGGGCACGCACGTGCCACAATGGGCATGTAGATCCAGGAAATCGAACTCAAGTCATTAGACTTGGAGGCAAGCGCCTTGAGCCTCTGAGCCATCTTGCTGGCCTATATCCATCAAGTCTTAATAGGAATGGGGTGGGAGTGGTGGGCAGGAGAAGGCAAAGATTTGAGCTTAAGCAAAAGTATGGAGAGCTGGGGGCGTGGTCCAGCCACAGAGCAACTGCCTAGTATCCCCCAGTGAGGGGCTGGGGGTGTGGCTCAGTGGTAGAACACCTGCCTAGAATTTACCAGTGAGGTGTTGGGGATATGGCTCAGTGGCAGAGGGCTTGCCTAGCATATGGGAATCCCTTGGTTCCATCCCCAGCACTGTGAGAGCTTTGGGTAATAACTCTACAGCAAAATGGCCAGCCAAGTGCCCACTTTGGAGCTGGTCCTTTGGGTTTTGGCTGAAGGGCCTGGATGATATATATATATATATATATATATATATATATTTTTTTTGTAGTCCCAGCTGTCCTGGAACTCACTATGTAGACCATGCTGGCCTCAAACTCACAAAGATCCGCCTGCCTCTGCCTCCCAAGTGCTGGGATTAAAGGCGTGTGCCACCACGCCTAGCATTTTTATTTTTTATGTGTATGAATGTTTTGCCTGCAAGGATGTAAGTGCACCTATGTCATGCATTTCCCAGAGGTCAGTAGAGGGCATTGGATCCCAAGGAACCGGAGTTAGGAATGGTTGTTAGCCACCATGTGGGTGTTGGGATCCAAACCCAGATCCTCTGCAAGAGCAGCCAGTGCTCTTAACTGCTGAGCCATCTCTCCAGCCCTGTGGATGAGAAATTTTTAAGAACTCAAGGTATTGGAGAAAATTAGGAAGCACATCATGGCATTCTCTGCTTAGGACTGCTCATAAATGTCTACCTCCTAACAGCCCTGGAGAGACCCTGGCTGAGTGGGTAAAGGGCTGGGGATGTGACAGTCTGTCACCCCCTGCAGATCTGGACCCGCTGGAGCTCAGTGTGGGTGAGGAGCTCTTCGTCTTCCTGAACAGCAGCCATACGATGGTGAACTGCTCTGCCAGCGGCCTACCTGCCCCTACTGTGCGCTGGACCAAGGTGATGGAGGAAGGAGCCCTGGGGCCTCGTGCCTTCCTCCCACACCCCTCACCCTCTCAGAGCCCTGCCTGACTTCCTTTCTGTCCCTTCCTTAGGACTCTGTGCCCCTCGGAGATGGCCCCGTGCTCTCCCTCAGCTCCATTACCTTCGACTCGGCTGGCACCTACGTATGTGAGGCCTCTTCACCCACGGTCCCTCTCCTGAGTCACACACAGAGCTTCCAACTGGTGGTCCAAGGTTTGGATTTGACTGGTGGCTTAGATGAGAACAATGTCCATGTCTTCAATTTTGTGTGTGTATGTGTGTGTGTGCATGTGTGGTGTATGTGAATATGTGTATTCATATGTGTGCACATGTATATGGATGCCTCTGGAATCCAGAGGTGTCTTCCTCTATCGCTTTCCACCATTTTTTTTTTTTACATTTATTTATTTATTGGGGGGGTGGTGCCAACTTGTGGAAGTCAGAGGACAACTTACAGGAGTCAGGTCTTTCTCTCTCTGCTGTGTAGATTCCAGGGATCGAACTCAAATCATCAGGCTTGGCAGCAGGCACCTTCACCTGCTGAGCTATTGCACCAGCCCCTCCACCTTATTTTAATGTGGAGCTCATTGATCAGCTAGGCTGGCTGGCCTGGGAGCTCACAGATCCTATCTTTGTCCCACTACCCCAGTGCTGGGGTTACAATGCATGCCACTGTGCCCAGTTTTTATGTGGGTATGGGGGATCTGAACTCAGCACTTTACCCACTGAGCCATCTCCCCTCTTGTCTCTTTCTCCTCTTCCTCTCTCCTGCCTCTGTCCCCTTCCTGTCCCTTGCAGTTTGCCTCCTACTTACTTTGCTGTGGTCCCCACCACCCACAGGGTCCCCAGAGTTAAGGCCAAAAGAAATGGAGCCCAAATCAGGGGACAGCTGGACAGAAGGAGATGAAGTCAAGCTAGTCTGCTCTGCCCGAGGCTACCCAGAGCCCAAACTCACCTGGAGCCAGAGAAGCGCCACTGTAAGAGGCTTTCCTGGTCACCCTGAACCCACCCCAAGTCCCACGGGAGACCCTGTCCCTCACTCATCCAAGCCTGGTATCACCTTCACTTCCCCTTGGCCCTCATCCCCTGCCCTTGATCCCAAGGGGGCCCGGTCTGACCCGAGTCTCCACAGCCAGCAGAACCACCCTTCGAAGGCAAGGGCTGGGTGAGCAGCTCGCTGACCTTGAAAGTGACCAGTGCCCTGAGCCGAGAGGGTGTGTCCTGTGAGGCCTCCAACACCCATGGCAAGATAGGCCACGTCTTCCACTTTGGCTCTGGTGGGTGACCATGGAGGGGAGGAGCTGGGTGGGCACTGGCAGCCCTGGCCTGGTGGGCTGAGTGTCTCCTGTCTTCTCCTCACAGTGGCCCCTCAGACCGCCCAGGCCGGAGTAGCCGTCATGGCAGTGGCCGTCAGTGTTGGTCTTCTATTGCTTGTGGTTGCTGCCTTCTACTGCATGAGACGCAAGGGGCGCCCCGGCTGCTGCCGGCGGACTGAGAAGGGGGCTCTGTGAGTGCTTACAGGCGCCAAGTCCTTTTCCAACCTCAGCCACACCCTACCATCAGCCGGATCCAGCCAAGTTCCTCCAACTCCATTGCCAAAGGAACCCCAAAGCCACAAGCCCTCCAGCCTCCCCCATTCATCTCCAACCCATCCTCATCCCAAGGATGGCCTTGTCTACTACCCCAAATCCCACCCAAAGCCACCTTAAATCTGCCCCTGTCAAACCTAACTGTCTCCGTCCCACCATCCTCCTCACAGGCCTCCATTTAACCTCACCTCCAGATTTTGTATTTGTTTTGTTTGGAGTACTGGGGATAGGACCCAAGACTTTGCATATGCTAGGCAGGTGCTGTAGCCCAGCCCCTCACTGGGGGATCCTAGGCAGGTGCTCTACCCCTGAGCCATGCCCCAAGCCCCTCACTGGTGAATTCTAGACCAGAGCTCTACCACTGAGCCATGCCCCCAGGCCCCCTCCCTCCCCCTTTTTTTTTTTTACTATTTTAAGATAAGGTCTCACTAGATTGCCCAGGCTAGCCTTGAACTTTCCATCTTCTTGCCTTAGTCTCCTAAATGCTAGGACTACAGGCCTGTGCACCTGCCTATGCCCAAGGTCATCTCCGATGTAGACTATCTCCTCCAAAGTCCCACATAGAACTGGGAATAGCAGCCTGTCTTCCAGCCACATCCCAACCCCAGCCTGTGAATAGCTTAGCCACATCCCTGTCTACAGTCTCTCCTCAGTCCTCACCCATAAGTACCCCAAATCCATTCCCATCTTGCCTCATCCCACTTTCCATTGTGACCTCAACTCTGTCCAAGCCTTTTGGAGGGGTCCCTGAAGTGTCCCTGCTCTGGTCCCATCTCCATCCCATCAACCCTGTGGTTACACCTGCCCCAGCCTGGCTCCAATGCCAGGACCTCCCTAAGCACATCCCTAGCTCCTTCCTTCCTTAGCAGTGACAGCTTTACCATGCTATTGTCCTCCCCCAGGCCACCTGGGGAGCCAGAACTGAGCCACTCAGGCTCTGAGAGGCCAGAGCAGACAGGCCTTCTTATGGGAGGGGCCTCCGGAGGAGTCAGAGGTGGCAGCGGAGGCTTTGGAGATGAGGTAAGTGAGGGTCTGGGTGTGGGGAACCAGCAGAGCACAGGTCCAGCCTTGTGGGCGCAGGCTGAGTTACTGGTTCTGTCCCCAGTGCTGAGTCCAGGGACCTCGCAGAGGCAGGCGCTGGACCTGCAGCTCCAGACATCATCAGAGGACCAGCTCTGCTCATGCCTCCACCTCCTTCCTCCTCTAGCCTTGGCCCTCCCTTCCTTCCTCTGCCTGCTGGGCAGGGACCCACAGTGGCCCGCAGGCCTCCAGGAGAGAAGGAGGGAGGTTGGAGCGCTGGGAGGGGACCTTCCTCCAGGGAATGCGACTCTCAGGCCCCAGAATAGCTCCTGGACCCAAGCCCAGGTCCCGGCCTGGGATAAGGCGCTGAGGGTCTAAGGGTCTGCTGGCCCAGGCTATTTTTACCTCCTGTTTCCCCTGCTGGTCCCCCCACACACACCTGATGCCCTGCTGTGTAGTCTGACACTGGAGTCTCCCCCAAAAAAACCGCCCTCATCCCCCATCCTAGCTCGTCACCTGTGGACACTGGATTCTGGAATAAATGCTGCCTGTCACGTGGATACTTTCCTATGGCCAGATCCTCTGGCAGTGGGGGAAAGAAGGGAAGTGGGGGCCCCAGGCCGTTTTCCTCACACACCCTCAGGAGAAACCCTGATGTCATCAAGAAAGAAGCGAGACAGAGGCTGGAGAGGGAGAGAAATGGACGGTACAGAACATGACTCAGCTGACTAATGCTGAAGGACACAGGCACCGGGGGTCCCAGCACCAGCCTGGACCAGTGCCCAGTGCCTGCTTGGGAGTGGGGTGCTGTCCCCTTAAGGAAAATTCCCAGAGCCCCCAGGGAGCTGACGCTGCGCCTAGAAAAGCTCTCTTCCCTTCCTGAAGGAGCTGGGGATGCAGGTCACAGTGACTCCCTGGGGAAGCAGGGGTGAGAGAGAGGAATGTGAAGGGACCTGGGGCAGAGTGGAGAGACTGATGGGCTTTCAGAAGTCCAAACAATAAGGGCTGGAGAGAGGGATGGGGACCTGGAGTTTGTGGCAGCTGCCTATTATCCGAGCATGTCAGGATCCCAAGGTAAGAGGATCATGAGTGAGAGGCCAGCCTGGGCTGCATAGTAAGTTCCAGGCTAGTCAGGGCTACAAAGCAGGACTGTCTTAAAATAACAAAACCAGAGGCAGGGAAATGGTGCAACAGGTAAAGGCACTTACTACCAAGCCTGACAACCTGAGTTCAATCCCCAGGACCCACATGGTAGAAGGAAAGAACTGATTCCCATAAGCTGTGCTATGACCTGCCACACATGCACTATGGCATGCACCTGCCCAAAGATAGAGATACAGAGAGAGAGAGAGAGAGAGAGAGAGAGAGAGAGAGAGAGAGA